ATCCAAGCTCTCTGTGTGTATAGGCTTGTCAAATACCTCAATACGCATTTTTTTTGACTGATTTATGCCAGAACCTTTAAGTTACTGCACATCCACAGCCAAGAGTCTTGAATCATTTTTCACCTTTCCCCTTCATGACCTCCGCAATGGTATGGTCTCCTTAAAAATGTCTACTCACCACTACTGCTCTACCTCCTTGTCATAGGGTGGTTTGATCCCCAGCACCCTTGCGTGGTAACATCCTGCTATCGTTGTGTTAGAGTGCGTCACTGGGTGAAGAAGAGCCAAATTTTGAAGCACTTTGGATAAAAACCACTATTGTAGCTGAGTTCAAACTGTGTATAGTTCAACTGCTTCTAAAAATGCAAACCATTGACCGATCTCTAAGCAGAGTGCCATCGCCAAAAAATTTGAAATTCTGGTTGTTGAACAGCTGTTAAATGTCTAGAAGAACCATAATATGTTTCATGAATTCAAATCTGGCAATCACCAGAGTCACAGCACTGAATTTATACACTTCAAGTCTCATCTTGATGCAACTGATGCTGGTTATTGTCCTGTTCTTATTCTACTCAATGTCCGAAGGAGTTACATCTACAATAGTATTATCATTATAGGCTCGAAGAAAAGCAGTCTTTATGCCAAATGGCTCATTTCAGAAAATATTGGGCCACTGGATTATAATTTTACATAACTAATTTTATGTACTTTATATACTGCTAGGTAGCTTCATCCATAACTATCATTCTATCAGTTTATCGAAATGTAATTTTTGGTTTTGTATTACTAATCAGAATCTGCAAAGTAACTAGCAACTAAAGCTCTCAGACAAATGTAGTGGAGTAAAAAGTAAAATATCCCTCTCCAAAATGTAGTGGAGTAAGTATAAAGTAGCCTAACATTAAAAGTACCTCAAAATTCTACTTAAGAAGAAACTTCAGTAAACACCAACTGGTTGACAAACAACTGTCCTAAATTCAATCACAACTATACAACTATAGTATATATATATATAATAGTTAGTATTAACTTTTATAAGTAACCGAGAGGTTACTTTTCATGGATGTTGTATGTGTTGTCTTTTTATTTGGTTTTTATTGACTTGTGAAGCACTTAGTGACCCTTGCTTTCCTTTTAAGATGCTTGCTGTCTACGGGCAGTTCAGTTACAATTACAACTCACTACTCAAGTATATTGTAGTGACTGGGAGCAGTTTTCCATAGAAACCTGGAACTAGGTCTACCTTCTGCTGACTTTTACTTACAGCATTGACAAATATAAAAAATGAGTGTGCAAAGTTAGGTGCAACTGTGCACTGGAGTTTGACTTGGAGCAGTCTGATCCGTCTGGAAGCAAGCCCACCTTATCTATTGACCTTTACTTGAAATACCACTTACATTGTCTCAGGTATCTTTCTTTTCCTAGCCCAATATTTAAAATGTATTAAAGATTCCCCTCTAGAGATGTATTATGACTAAATAGTGTGTTTGGAACAATAATGTGTGTCTTCTATGTTTTTTTTCTGCAAAACAAAAATATAATTTCCACACAAAAATCCTCAAAAAAGCATCTACTTCTTCTACCTTATTAAAAAAATCCAGAATCTCTAAATATGCAAATAAATTTTGTTCATTTCTAAAGTTTTCCTGCTGGACACAATTAGTCCATTCACAGTGTATGTGCACTTGTGACTTCAAGTTTCTACATTTTCTACACCTGGTTTAACTTCTAAGCTATTTGTGTTGTCACAAATCATGCTTGTAGGCCCCAACCCTTAAAATCAGAT